GGAATACACCCCTACATATCAACCCAGTACAAACTTGCTGAGGTCATACTCAGCGTAGGCTCCTGGAAACCGGGTCCAGTGTCCCTTAAGGGAATCTCCAAAAAAAAAATTGCAAAGCAAATCTATGGCAGACTGGCAGTACAATATCCTTGCTACTGAGGAAAACACCGGCATGTTTCTAAAATCGAAACACTATTGGCAAAAAACTATGAACTATAAACCGCAAATCTCGAAAATGCACAAGGCAATTCACGAAAATTTACAATCCAACCCTAAAATTATTTCCAGGAGCATGCTAAATTCTTAGATGCAGAACAATTCTAAAATTCAGTCCAAGTGCGTACTAAACTGATCTTAACAGAAATTGAAACTGGGCGTATTAATATCGTCTACCGAAAATAGATGATTGAAAATAGCCAAGAGAACGGCCACATATAGAGAATCCAAGGGAATTTAAAGGGAGGGAGAGATAGATAACCGCTCCCACAGAATATGCGAGTGGGGGGGATATGAGTCAGGTTTTCCAAATGGCACAAAGTCGAGCGGAAGACACTCCCCACACCACTCAGGGCATGGGTGACCACAGGTGTGTACTAAATTGATCTTAAACCACCAGTACTTCCTAAAGTCGCTACGCGATTTAAGGAAACGTACGGGCCACTACAGGAGCGCCCAAATTCATCCAACTAGAAATGTTTCTACTCTATTTTTTTCCGTGGCCTATAGCTGGGCCAAGTACTGGTGGTTTAACAGAAACTGAAACTGGGCGTATTAATATTGTTTGCAGAAAATAGATGATTGAAAACCACCAAGAGAACGGCCACATATAGAGAAACCAAGGGAATTCAAAGGGAGGGAGAGATGGATAACCGCGCCCACAGAATATACGAGTGGGGAAGATATGAGCCGGATTTTCCCGATGGCACACGGTCGAGCGGAAGACACTCCCCACACCACTCAAGGCATGGGTGACCCTGTGTCAGTGGTCCTGCTCTTGGAGATCAGCCCCTCTTAAAAGGTGAACATCACTGTGTCTCTAAATGCGGTTATGGCTGGAAAATGTTTAACCCTTTGCACACGGGAAACATTCCCACCGCCACTAGTGAGTCTCCCACTCCCGCTGATGGCGCCGCCGCCCCTAGGACTTCAGGGCTTTACGTGCCCAGCAGAGGTCTCGTCCCTTCATCACTGTCACAGTTTTCGGCAGCACCGCTACTAGTATTGCCCAAAACACCGAGCATGCCACACCTGTGGTATTTACTCCAACAGTTACTGAACAGGCAAAGAAATTAAACGAGCATAAAACCGCGCTTAATAGGCTAATAGAAAACACTAAGAAATTAAACGAGCATAAAACCCATGGCTACACCGGACCCGGACCCGGACCCGGACATTTCCGGAAATGGAACCGGACCCGTGTCCGGTAGGTTCCGGACATTTCCGGACCTCCGGGCATGGGGGGTCCGGACGGTCCGGATGTCTGGACAGGTCCGGAAATGTCCGGACCGTTAAAAAAAAAAAAAAAAAAATCTGAAAAAAAAGTATGCTATGCAGAATAACAACGCAAACCACTTTTGCCTCAGAGTCATGTCAGAATTCCTAACCAAACTTGAGTTACAAGTCAAAAACTATAAAAAAGCTTTAAAAAAGACTTCAA